TAATTGTATTCACTTGGAAACTGATGACTAAATAGTGGTACTTTCAACTGATAATAGTGATGTTTAGCTCTCTTTTCCTTCATCAGTCTAGCTTTCTTTGCTGGGGCAGGCTTGGCTTTGATAGATGTGTTTTCTAGAAATAGCTTAAAATGTTATGAATACTGCTAGAAAGATAAGGCTGGTAGATGATTCACTCAAATTATTATGGTCAGAATGATAAATCTGTCTCTCTTTAGATAGTTAATTGGCACAATTCTTACATATATAGATTGCTTTACAAACAAGTGCTCTAGCCATTTAGACCATCGCTAACACTAGTTTCAGCAAGTTGACAGATTCTTTATTCTAACAATCAGTCTATCATAGAAAAAAAGAATGAAGAGATTTTATTGAAGATACAGTCACAACTATAAAATGGGTTATGATTTCTCATTATTACCTGCCTGTATCACTTCCTACTTCTATCTCCATTGCCAACGTTTCTCCTTTTCCTCTAGACCCAATCCAAACAAATATACTAAGAAAGCAGTTCTTTCGGTGCATTTGTTTCAACTTTTTCTTTGTTCGTTTGTTTTTGTTCTTTTTCTTCCTTGTATTCTGTTTCTTTTTCAGTCTTGAAGTTTTGCTGTTCCAAAAAAAGCAAGGTATGAAACAACAATAAAATAATGATTTTGTTAGTAGTAATAGTAAGTATACTTTTTATTTTATAAAAGTACGAAAATCTTAAATATGATCCCTGGAGAAGGAGCTGGCATCTCACTCCATTATTCTGCCAAGAAAACCAAATGAATATTTGCATCCAGGAGAATGTGAATGTGAAACCAGAAGACAAGCCCCAGGTTGGAAAGTATCCAGTGAACTACTGGGAAAAAGGAGAGGGTGAGTATGAATACCGCTGCACTTATAATGTGGCTGGATTGAAATCCAAAGGACATCCATCTGCTGATATTCCTGGATGTGAAAAGAAAACTTGATGCTACAAAGTCATGTATTGCATTGGTACATGGAATATTTGAACCATGAGCCAAGGCAAAATTGAGGCTGGAGTAGAAATGTCAAGATTTGACACTGACATTCTGAGAATCAGCTATCTGAAATGGACTGGAATGGATCAGTTCACATCAGAGATTCTTAGATCTGCTGCTGCTGACAAGAAAACCATTGAAGAAATCAAGTAGCCGTTATTATTAAGGAAAGGATGTCAGTCAGTGCTTGGTTCAATCAAAACATGGTAGAATGATTTCAATTTGAGTCCAAGTCTGTGGTCAACCAAAGATGCATTGGAAATAAACGTTGAACAGTTGTATGGAACTTGCAACATCTTATCAATATAATATTTTTTTAAAAAAAATCCATATGATCATGTTGTGAAGGTAAAGAATATATTTAATGGATTAGATTAGATAAATAGAGTGCCTGAAGAACTCTGGATTGAAATGTTTGACCCAATTAAAGATCTAGCAAATGAAAATATCCTAAAAGCCAAAGAAGGCAAAATGGCTGTCTGCTGACACATTGAAACAGAAAGAACAAATGTTACAGAGACAGAGGAAGTTTGGCCAACTAAATCATCAGCTCCACAGAAGAGCAAGAAGAGACAAATAGTTGTAACAAAATAAGCAATGAAAAGAAACTGACAAGCAATGAAAGTAATAACAGAATGGGAATAGATTTATTTAAGAAAATTACAGAAAAAAAGGGAAGCTTTTATGCAAAAATGGGCACAATAAAATATAAAGAAAACAAGCATCTACTGGAAAAAGAAGATCTAAAAAAAACTGGTACAAATATATGGAAGAACTGTCCCCCCAAAAATGCCCTATCTATGACATATATGGTTTGATGCTCTACTAATAATAATAATAATTTACTACTTAAATATTTTGCTGTCCATTGGTTCACAAAAAGTCATAAGCAATTGGATTAAGCATAGTCCTAAGGACAAACAACTAAATGAGAATCTTCTGTTTTTATTATTTTTCTCTTTGCCTTTTATTAAGATGAATATGGATAGGAAAAGTGAAAAATATATTTCTCTGTCAAAATGTTAATCACTTGGAGCATTTTCCTAACAGAACAGTTGCTGGCTCAGTGGGTTTTAACTGACCTTTTCTTGTAAAGAAGAAAATTATTCTGGTGTGATCTATTAAAGCTTTGAAGTCATTTATGTTCTGTTCAGTGGGAGCAATTTTATGTATAAGGAAATTATCAAGCTGCTTAAAGCAGAAGGAGCAATTGAATTGATTGGCAATTGAATATTCGAAGGAAAGAAGTTAACCTCAGTGAACCTCCCAGTTGGCCATTCTAACAGTAGGTGGAAGTTTCCATCCAGTGTTTCCAGCAATTGACTAAACTAAATTATATCTAAAAATGAAAGTTAATCATAATAACAATAACATACTTCTGTGAAATAATCACCTCTAGAGAGACACTCCTCTGTTCCTTAATCTGGCAGGGATTTTCAATTATCTTTGAAAACTACGTGTTCATGGCTTTATATTGGCATATTAGCTTCCAAATGATTTTTTAACAGATTATAAAAACAGATGCAGCATACCATATTCTAATACTCACATTTGATAATATTTAATAATAATAATAATAATTTATTAAATGTATATGCCATGTGACTCTCAGAGACTCTGGAGAGTTTAGAGTTGTCAAAAACAAAGAACGATAGAAAGAAACAAAAACAGCACGAGACAGAAGAACAACGATGGCAAATAAAATAAATCCAAAGGGGAACAGAAAGGAACAAAGGGGCCTCAGTCATTCTCTCCAAAGGCCTGGGCGAAGAGCCAGGTCTTTAGGGCCCCTCGAAACACCAGCAGGGTAGGGGTACCAGCAAGGTGGGAGCATAATTTTTTTTTAATTATGGATTTGTACGCGGAATACATTTAAAAAATGCTACTAGATAGCTAAATTATCTATGTGGATTGTTCACGTTTGAATTTTCTTCTCATGAAGAAGCTTTTTATTTACAAAGGTTCTGTAGCCAGATACAGCTGTGGAGTCCTTGGTGCTCTCTGAGCTTGGTTGTTTGCTTGAAGACTTTTCATCACCCAGTTGGTAACATCATCAGTGCTAATGAGTGTGGGGTTTTCTGCCTGTTCCTATACAGTAACACTAGCAGTGCGAGCTAATGTATATAAACAGGGAGAAAACCCTAATTCCTAATTATCATTACTGAGCAGCATGAGGTGTCCTCCCCTTGTTCTTATCATTCCAGCCTCACATATACTTTTTTGCATTTAATAGAAAGCTTTTGTCATTTTACAACGGCTGTTTAATCTTTGTATGTTGTTCATCATAACCATAGAGAATTCTCATATATTTAGTTGAACTGTGAACTCATGGTGACATTTGGAAGAGGCTGTTGTGTCTATCTGGAAAACAGTTGCGTTGTTTGCTAAATTATGAATGATATTTTATCTTCCAAAACTGTTCAGTTTATTTCAGAACATAACAAGACTCAGCACAGTTCACTGTTTTCTGACAACAGAACTAATGATGTGCTGATTACTATCACAACTAATCTAATATTCGTGCTAAAAGGGTTGCTAATAATTTACAGCAGCAAGCAGTGAGCTAACAATTAACACATTTGTGGATGTAGAAAAATACAAATTTGAAATGAGTCAGGCATCAGCTGCCATATTGAGAAGTCATGAGTGCATTTTTCTATATGAAATTGGTATGGAATTAGTATATTTAGCATATTTGAAACAACTGTGAAAGTGTGATGGAAGGCACGAGTGGGGAGGATTCTGGTATGGAGCTTCAAGGTTACAGGGAGGGGGAGTGACATTCCAAGCATCTCCTCAGCCCCCAGCTGGACTGTGTGAAAGTAAGGAGGAAGAGACTTGAGTTGCTCTTGTTGGGGAATTAGAATTAGTCTGGCGAGATTCTGTCTATTAGGTGCAAGCTAATAAAGAAGCTGAGCTG